GCGGAAAGCTAGTATACCATAATATCTACTCGCTCTTCGCAATGTCACGATATGAGTTACATGAGTTAACTTGGGTCTGAATTATAGAGCAATATGGCGCCAGTTCCTTCGAAGTTGCCAGTGCAAAACAGCTCGTAGAGTTGAATATTTATGTGCGCATCCTGCGAATAATGTTGCCACTTTATTAGTCGATAGAAAACAGAAGGTAACGAGTTTTAAATCTTTTTGAAATCTTAGACTGATCGCGTGATAGAGGTACCTACGTAGTTCTTTTGTTTTTTATAAAATCGTATTATCTAAAATATGCCTAAAAAGCTCTACCATTGATTACTTAATTGCGTTGCGTGCTGTAAAACGTCGACATTACAAAAAATACAGTGAAATTCGATCAATTCTTATTTTATTGACCTTATTTATTACATAGGCTACATTTTAAAACTATATTCTAGATAAAAATGACACGAATGATAGTGCCAATACGTTTTAAAATATAGTATAAAAAAGTTTTAGATCTTTAGAGTAGGCGCACACCGTTGATTTTTAGTTGGCCGATAGTTGTGCCCGATTTTAATTTGTATGAAGAATCGACCAAATTCGATTTGGTGGCGTAGTGTGCGCACTCCCATACATGCCCATACTGATCAACTGCCCGACTAAACCATCGGCCAACGAAAAATCAACGGTGTGCGCCTACTCTTAGTTATTGAGATGACAAATTATGCACTGCATCCAATGAAACAATAGACAACAAACAATACGTAGGGCTGTATCGGGACTGCTTCTAGTATTAATTACTTCCCAGAGCTCCATCGCTCATAGGTATTGAATTCGTTGGCAATAAACGATGAATCAGCGAAAATGGACGTGCGGATACACCTGAAGTAAATGCAGTTAAATCAGTACTAAGTAATAAATTAACGTTTAATTCCGCTTCGGTTAATAATTTTTCAGTCTATAACTCCTGCTTGTAATGTGAACGTTTTCGTATGTAAATATGGTTAAAATGACTCTACATTGATTCTTCAGCTGACAGCAACAGATTCCTTTAACATTGTCTGATGATCAAATACTACACAATGCTCTCTAGTTCTTTGCCAACGTCATTTCCATTGCGATTCACTGCCAAGCATTGATTTCTCACCTGATGTAATAAGTTGCTATAACGTTGGTTTGAACTTAGCTTACTGCTTTGATTGATATTGTGTTGTGTACACTACACAGTATACTAGCTCCTAACTCGATAACAGACACACAATACAATAATCACGAAGGTGTTCTAGTCCAAACATGTACAGTATACACACTATTGAATATTATTGATTCAGGTCTCCAACGTAAAAATTACAGATTTTCTTGTAATTTCACGTCTTTTGCAATAAACAGAAAAGATAATGTACAAACACGAAGGTGTTTTAAAAACATTTCAGCAGCACCATTCAGACTTTCCTTGAATGAAAGCCTTAAGGCTTTACCTTAAGGTTTAAAATGGCTTTCTACAAATCTGCGATTACAGATGCTAAGCCCAGTTAAGTCGCTAAGACATTACCGATCAAGCTAATCCCTCCTCACAATAATAATTCGCAGAAAAGCGGATATTGAATACATAAATAATGCGGCCATTGAATCCTCTTAGGGTTTCCCGCGTGAATACAACTCGCAATGGCTTCTTAAAACCTAATGCTGCTGTAAATACGTCACATAGTTAGATAGTTTTTAAGCATAAACATTATACATATAATGAGTCAGGTAAAACAGCAAGTATTTTATTTGTATTGATTGCATGTTAATGTCTTGATTCCTTTAATATTTTACGCTTCAAATTCCTTCAGTCAGCGGACCGAACGTGAGTCAGGCATAGATTAGTTTTTGACCTTTAGTTGTAAGTTCAAGGATTGTTTGCATGGGTGTCAATAATGTAGGTGTATCCAAAGTTCGAAAATGTGGTAAAAGTAGTTTAGTCTCTCAATCGAACCCAGTATTTTACTTAAGGTTACGTTAGTTCACTTACTCGATACATACAAATTTACTATTATTAGAAAAAATACACGGCTCTTATTTTCAAGCCTTATTCGTTCGTATTTTTAACTAAAAAATAAGTAGGTAAATCAGATTAATTGAGGTGGGGCTTAATTTATTTTATATTTAGTATAAGTTTTACTTCATCGATATAGACAATGTAACTACAGCACCGTTAAAAGCATCGTGATGCTATACACTACAAAACAACACGTAAACAATCTCCTTAAAAGTCTGCTGCAAGAAAGAGTGAGTTGTTAGTTAAGTACTCTTCAATGTAACTTGATTAAACTTGACCTTTTCCAAGAGAAATCTTTCGCTATCCGCAGTTTGACTGGCGAATATAAGTAGGTACCCAATTTATCAAGGTAATAAAGTTTGGGAATTAAGTGTTTAGTAAAGAAGGAAGTCCTTTCTATTGAACATCATCGTCATCACCATTTCAGCCACTGGTAAACACGTTAATGACTAACACAATATAAACCACTGAACGGACTACATTAAAAGGCACACAAATAAGTAGTTGGTATGACGTAGTGGAGGGAATCTTCATAAAAACCAGCTTTTCAGGAACAGTTATTTANTTTTTAAATTAATCTTAGGGTTATCCTAAGATTAATTTAAAAACAAAAAACAAAACGCTAAACCCTTACAACATTTAATATCGAATTTAAACTTACCCGTACTCTTTACGCTAAAGCAACGAAATGCGTTTCTAGAGTCAAAAAAGTTAAACAGACGCATTTTTTTATAAATCTAGCCTCTTAAATTAACAAAAACAAATGTTCTGTTAACATGTCACACGAAACTTAGGTATACAACACCTATTTGGCCTCATATCTGGGTGTTTAGGCTTGGGCCAAATTCCGTGCCGCTGAGTGTAGATACGACGAAATAAAAAAGAAAATGCCCTATAGTCCTTCAAGCCAATCAATTGCGACCCGGTCATAAATGCGACCGCTTGGGGATTGATGGGATAAATGAAACGAAAATATTAAATCTTACTATTCCAAATTTTTTGTTGCGAATAATTGAGTTGCGAATTTTTACATTTAATTATTTTCTTTACAATCAAAGTAATCTGCTTTACTCTACATCTGGAATTCTGGATAATAGGCATCTCCCAATGTAGTACGATAATGAGCTCAACGTTCACAACATTCACGTTAGGTATTTAAAATCCTGACCATATTTTCAGTAAGTCAAGTGTGAAGGCAGTGGTAGGTTTATGAAGCCACGCACTGCAGTTTAAAAGTGATTGCTCGTAGCACACTGCTACGAACAGTCGTAGTCGTAGCAGAACTCAGTAATGGTTGTAGCAGGGATAAAAAGATAAAAGAAACCAAAGTTATTTCACATACATTTTATTTTCTTAAATTATTAACCATTGATTTCCAAGAGTACAACTAAAAAACAAATTAAAGTACAAACACGTTATGCATCGCTAACTAAACACAACTGTAGGTAACTTCTCTTGGCAAACCGTACACATTCGATTGACTAACCCGGCGCACCACTCAAACGAGTCAAGAACCATGTACTTGCAGTCTGTACACCTTACTTGGTCGAATTATAACAGCCTTTTATCCATCGAGAACAGTACTGCAATCAACTAATGTGATTTGCTACATATGTAAACATAGAGCCCTAAGGTATCGATAATACTTAAAAGTATGCTAGGTCTGAAAGCGATAAGTCTTCATATTGAGCGAACCCAACTAAATAAGTGAAATACACTCAACCACTCAGAACTCGTTGTCGTCGCTAAGTGCGTCTATCTGGTACATGTGACACTAATGGTGTGGCTGATTTATACAGCTTACATACGATATTTTGCGCTACTGCAATTTTTCTCCATTGTTCGAATGCTCTTTGGGCGGCGCAGTAGGAAAACAGCGTATATAAACTTTCGTAACTATAAAATGTGAGGACAAAAATGTTTTGGAGGTCCAATCAATATGACAAGCGAAACGTGTTTGTTCGTGTAAAAACAAAAACGGATTACTGTAGTCAGAATAAAATATGAAGTATAACTTGCAGAATAGATAATCTATTATGTACTTAGAGTTCAACATCCATCTGTGACATGTAATTACATACAACAAACACTCTTCAACATTTCCAAATATATATTCTTTTACGGCTTTACACACGTTTATTTCATAACTATTTATTACAATGTCTAATGTACACAATTTTCAACCCTCTTTTACCCGAAATACATGAAACACTATTTTTATACACAACAAACCTTATGCTATGAATGTGAAAATATTTCGTCACGATATCTTAGTTGTAATTAATTATTCTCTTATGGACTGTAAAGAAACTGTGAAATGCATTAAGTTTTTGTTACACACTTATACGTAATATATTAACATTATTATGTTTAATTACTAATATCAGTCAAAATATTTCCGCAGTATAACCTACTGACCGACTGCAGCAATACTCGTGCCCATTATTTTTTTTAGATTCAGGACAGGAACTTATTGGAAAATCACATTTGCGTAGGTACATCATGTGAACCACAGTAAAAACTGTATGAATGAATGAATGAAAAAATACACAACTTTACTATCATTAAAATGGGTAGAGATCTTACGAGTTATGTAGGGTAAAATTAACAATGAGACTTGATCAATGATTTTTATAAAGATTCAGATTATCAACAGCGTTTTCCTCCTTTTTTCACATAGGCACAAGTACAGGTGGATGCAGTCGGTTGACATCGCCAAGTCCCACTGGGACCTAACGATTGCTACTCATTAACAAAACAGCCAGCTAAGCAAATCATAGAAAAATCATTACCATTCCCCCATATCAGTCAATTTCGTTTGTATAAAGTACAAAAGTTGTATAAATAAAGGTTAAAAGGCAAAATGCATGTAATCGAGCGAAATAATTTAGAAGAGCAACGAAAAGCGAGTGGCCACCTTACACGTGAAAGTAAAAATTTATTTACACGTTATCATTGTATAGCCTCTGTGGGCTTTCCAAGTACTATTCTAATTAGGTACTCGCCAGTAATGCGCCAATTTCATTGTTTATTTACTAACAATACTATCCTTTGTACAACGCCAATAACATCCTTAATCTAACTCCCATTTGATACATTGCCGTTAGTTTTGCCTTAACGCTAAGCTACTAACAAAATAAGTGTCAATATTACTTACATTATCATTTACATTAGTAGAACGATGCACGATTCGCGATTATAGTTATTTTATTTACGATCCCGTCATTACAAGTTTAAAAATCTATAAAGGCATCTTTACCTCAGACTTTAGATTTAACACCGCCGTGTTGAGGGTGTTTTTATGAACTAATTAATTATAATTAAGTTAGATAAAATGAATAAATAAATATAGTAATCGAATTGTCGCGACGCGTCGCGATGGTGAGACCGATTGGTGCGTGTCGCGTACCGACACTTTTCTATCACAATTAACTAATAATTTCACCAACATTAACTTAAATTAAATATACGTAAAGATAACAAAATTTAATTGAAAATCTATTTAGGCATTTGATGGCAGTATCGTAACTGGTTGTATCCAAACTAATTACAATTTACAAAACATGTTTCATAACCGCTAACTCTTAACTAATGGTAACACGATGAGGAACGGACGTAACAGGATTATCTAATTTATCAAGCCCCTTTATCAAAGTTGTTAAAATCCTATGCAAGGACGGTAAGGTACTTCAGAAAACCCTTAACCACCGTTTCATGAGTACAGGGAGTTGTCACATATCAACTGTCCTATTTAGATTTGCTACTTAGATGTTTAAATAGCCTCTGACTTGAACTATCAATATACTTGTGTTGGTTTATTTTGTCCAAAGAAATATTCTTAAAAAGAGCAGATCAGAGGGTGCCCAACGTACCTACAGAAATTATTTTAACTTAAAGAAATCGTGGATGCGAAGAAACACAGGATTTAAATTGAACAATCATTGTTCACTAAATAAAATTTAAGTTTGCTAACGAACACACAGGTTATCTCTATCATGATGTATGTTGACATCGTTTCCGAATGCTAAGGCATACACCGTTTAATTAACTAGAACCTAAGTCCTTAAAACGAACTTTTTGGTTGTAATTACTTAATTTTAACAAGGCATACTTCGCCTCCCTACACTAGTGGTAACTGTTCACCGTTGATGGAACGTTTATTATGTTCATTTATAATTAACGATTAATACAAGTGTTAATAACAATAACGGCAAATAACTTTAAAAAGTCGAGGCAGTGATCACTGACAGTATTAAGATCGGAAAGTCTACATATTATCGCTTAATATTATGTCAGGAGTGCGCAATCCGCTAAAGAAAATATTGATCATAGTTGACTTTGTTTCGTTTTAGGAATGCAGAGACGACGGAACGTGTAGTTTAGCACTGTGAGGTCATAATCCTAGTTGTAATAAACTGACGTGCAGTCGTCTGTATACATACATATAAGAAGCCTCTGATGTTCCATAATAACTTTGCAAAAGCATCACGATTACTGTCACTGTCACTTGTCGTGTCACTTTAGAAATATTAAAGATCAACATTTCCTAAAGCCGATTCGCACTACATTGCTGTAAGGCTTTTAAAATTTCTATCTTAAAAGTTTATTAAGATGACTTATAAATATACAGTTAGATGTTGATGATTATATTAATGAAAATGATAAATGAAGGAAAGAATGACGGTTAGTTAGTCAGACATAGTTATGGTTGCGACAAATGAAAATTGTGCGAAACACGATGGTGCTAATGAGCGTATACAAATTACAGGAATGCTAATTTGCTTGAATTTATGACTTAGAATATGAAATATTGTACAAATGGCTTTAACACTCTTAAAACGTGTATCAAGATACAAAACTATTTAAGAAAGGTGTACGTATGTTAGTTGCGGACTATTTTTTCATGTGGTGATTCGTGATAGAGATAATAATATGGTTTAGTTGACGGAAACAGACACTTATTTTAAAAACTTTTGCAACATGCAGTGACAATTTTTGATGTGATGTTAGTTTATTACCAAGTTATGTTAAAATGTACATGTTTCAAATGTTTGATGTAGCATGATCTTTAATGTATTTTACCGATAAAATAACGACATCTTGAGCACAAGTTTGAACACATCAAAGGAAGCAAAGTAAGTATATTAAATTGAAGCACCCGCACTAGAGAACCTCCGTCGGTAGAGATGGTAGAGATGGGCGAACATGAGCTTTATTGTGTAAAGAGATCAAATGATAAATATTTTTCAAAATCTTTTAATTTATTGATATATCGCAGTATCAAAAAGATCAGATAAAAATACTAAAAAATAATTCACTTAAGCATTATTTTGGATTCTGTTTGTGATGTTAGTAGATTCGTAGAAAGTCATAATAATTGGTAATAATAGCGGGAATATTATTTATAAAAGCACTTTTGGTTTCAGATAAACCTAATAATTTACAGTGCGATGAAAAAATTGTTCTAAGATCTTAAAAATTATCTTGAAAAATATGTAGTCATAATCGCCCACCTCTAGAAAAAGGGGGACGTATGGGTAACCAAAACACACATTATGTCTACGGTTACTTACACTACAGACCAGAACATGGAGAAGTGATACACAGCCACGTAACAACATGAAGTGTATGAAGTATTGGCAATAAAAATGCAAAGTTGTGACTAAAGAACCGAGCGAGACCACGCTAAATCAGTAGTGTGTATAAAACAGTAGTTGTATACAAGCAGTCTTGGTAAACACTGAGAGTAGGACTTAGTGCTAATTACATTATTATGAACAAGTCATTATAAAAATTAAATTAAAATTCTCATAATTACACACCCAGCATTTAATCTACTGGTTAATCCTAAATATAAAATGCAAACTAAAACATATTTCATTTACAAGAAACAATTCTGTCTAAAACAACGTTTATTTTGTATACTACAATCTATATTTACAGAAATAGTTTTTAATAATATATTATGCGCTTCTCCGACTGACAAATTTAAATAGTAACATAACTATATATTTTATTCTATTTAAATCTAACTAGTATACACTACCACGTATAAAACACGCATTCAAGTCCCTGGAACTATTTCTAAATAATTGTTATCAGTCTGAATTTGGGACGTTTTAATTCTTCTACTAAACAATAAACCAATACACTCGACTCAACAAAGGTATAAAATCCGCACTCGCTCGCACTAGTGCCCGTCACTCATACTGTCACGGGGACCTACAGAGTTCCATGCATCAACACTCGAAGTAGACTAGACGAACAGCTGCGTCCTTTCTTCAATCTTTCCAAATCCGTTTCAAATCAGGGGGCACTGTGTCATAGACATGACACTTCCGGTTGTAGAACCTACTAGCTCCACCCTGTCAATACTAAATTGTCTCATTCCGATTGCCATATCCAACAGCAGGAAAGCAGATTCAGAAGCCGATGGTCCAAATCTGCTGTAAATCCTGGGTCTCTCTCTAACTTTTCTTGACCGCGTTGAGCGTCATGCGCATCGTCGCGTTCTTCCACAGAGTCGTGATAGTCAACTCGACGTCGTCGGCTGCCTCATAGGAACATTTGTACGATTTCTTGTGCTGGACTGGCGTGAACACGTGTGGTGTGCGGGGTGCGGGGCTCCGTCGCTCGTACATTGCGAACTAGACGCCCTGCTGGGCCATATACTATCTTATCTCCGCCGAGTTCAGGACGAAAGGTACGTAGAACATCTTGCTCTCCAGGAGCAGGCTCGCTGCGGCCTGGATCTGTGGAAGAAAAATAGTGTCAGCATGGGAAAAAGTATCATAACTGTATGATGTAACAGCCACGAATGAAGGCGGGGAAGGGAATATACAGAGTGAGTTCAATGGCATTACCTACAGTCTCCCGCTCTACCTTGTAAGTATCTCGCTCCAAAAGCGAAAACGTGCGGAGTTTTCAGTGCTTTCTAACTGAACCGGTCGGCAAGATGTAATAGTGTTTCATTTCTAAGCATCGGTTCGGTTTCACTGATAAGATATATCTAACTGAGACCTCGCGATCGGCTTTGCAGCACCAATAATAGTTTCTACAGATAAACAATAATGGAGTAGAAAGCTCTTAATGTGTAGCCTTTAAATAAAACTGTGACAACTGAAATATTGATATTGCAAGAGAGAGGGCATTAGATGGTTTTGTGAGAGGTTCACGTTTCGTTGAGATCATGAACACAATGTTAGAGTTCAGAGTTACAACGATAACGATTAAATTTAATGGGACAATTCGTTCAATTGACTGTCACATTATGGAATGGGACACCCGAGCTTTCAATAGTACTTATGTTATGGGATATAACCACCTACTGACTTGAAACATTGTACGCAAACAAAATGGTGTGGTTAAGCTATAAAATATTCTTTGCTTTTAACCCGTTTTTGTTGGACGCAGGCCGCTACCTGGAAATTATTGGGGGAGGCCTATGTTCAGCAGTAGTGCTGAAAATAGGCCTGAAATAATAGTGCTGAAATTATGATAATGATGAACCCGGCTGTTATTTCTTTAGAGACTAGCCATATCTATCTATATATCTATAAAAATAAAAATGAATTGTTGTTCGTTAGTCTGATTAAAACTCGAGAACGGCTGGGCCGATTGCGCTGATTTTGGTTTTAAAATGTTTGTCGTAGTCCAGGGTAGGTCTAAAGTAAACGGTGAGCAAATACGCGCGCGATATTGTTTTTTTGTGACAAATAAAATTCCACGCGGGTGAAGCCGCGGGCGGAAAGCTAGTAATAAATAAAAATGAATTGCTGTTCGTTAGTCTGGCTAAAACTCGAGAACGGCAATACCGATTTGGCTAATTTGTGTCTTGAAATATTTGTGAAAGTTCAGGGAAGGTTTAAACGGTGAAAAAAACAGTTCTTATAAAAGAAAAATATAGCGGTACAAAGTTCGCCGGGACAGCTAATATAAATCTGCTCTGATGAAGTACACATTTGATTGATAGTGAATTTTTTTAGTAAATCTCCCATTATCACATCTCTTTCCATACCTCAGGTATCCTGGCGAAGAGTTCCTGGAGCCGACCCGGGTGGTGCGGCGCCGCGTGCTCGAGGTAGCTCCGAAGCACCTGCACGTAGCGGTCCTGGATGCCCTCCAGCTCGACCTCTGCAAGAAGGAATATTGGTGTGAGAGTGGAAAAGTGTTACTGTAATTTAAGTCTTAAGCTCCTCTTCTTTAAGTTGAAAATCAAAAAGTTTCAACTTTGTGTCGACATAAGAAAAATACTTATTTATACGTAAATAAAAAAGTAAAGTTCAGGATTTGAAAATGTAAATAAGATTGTTTGAAACTTTGTGACCTTGAATTTATTTCTATTTACTAAATTAACGATAGATCTTATTCACGTCGGAATTATCTGCAAGGTTGTCAGATTGATTAAGTCCAAAAATTATGAAAATTAATGGCGTGTTAATTATGCTGATTGAAGAAAAGTTAAATTGTGCAAGTGAGTTTTTATTTTGTCCCTGGGTTTCCTATTGCCTAGTCAACAAATGATCTCTTAACATTAAATTAAAGGTTATTTATTATTAATTAGTTCAGTAATTTACATTTAGGCTGTTTATTTGAATTAATTACATTTTATTAAAGCAGTCATTGTTTTCGTTTTGTAATGGATGCGTAATAACATAATCTAGTTTAATTCATAGTAGGTACTCCTAAACTTTAAAAATGTTTAACAAAATGCCTCGCGCAGTGACTTCCATTTCCAAGCCATTGTTGTGACTCTACATTGCCGACTCAATCAACTACTCGCCCCTAGATGGCGTTGCAAGGCGGCGGTTAACCAATGCCACCGGCGCGCGGTGCGGCTGTGACGTCACGCGCTCAGTAGGTCACTCCGATAGCGGGGCAACGACCGCGGCTAGCCGTTGACCTCCGTTCGAGCTCGCGTCCTCCCGCTACACCCGTCTCGCTCACTCGCGCGCGCTTTTCCACGGTATTGTACGCGCGATCGTTTAATGTGTGCGGTTAGTGCAGCATCTTTTAAGTGATGTAGTTTTCTTATGGGTATTTTATAGCTTTATGTTAGGCGTTTAGATTGCTTTCCGAATATAAAGTCTTAATATACTTTTATGACGCGTAGTCTATCCATTCGCAAGTAATAAAAATGCATATAAACAAGAAGTTTAAAGCAAGCCTTAAATTACGTAAAAAATATATCGCGCTGCGCTGCTGTAAACAGACAGCATAATCTGTGTTTTTTTCCATTGCGCCCGACGCTGCGCAAAAGAGAAAGTTCGCCTTCCGCGTTGCGCTTTCCGCTCCGAGAGTGAAATGTTGTCCCGTTTCAACTGACGCAACTAACATTTTATTATTTTATCTATGTTCTTTGTTGTGCATCGCTTTTATTTATGGCTAATGTATTTTTATTGTTCTGTTTTTCATCAAACGTGTTGTATTAATGAAACTACATACAGCAGTTATGTCAATTATTTTGATGTGGAGTCCAAAATACCTATACGCCGAGCTGCAATATCTAATCAGACGCAAATAAGTAAAACATTTAACAGTTCAATTCCGCGCCCAATAAGTTTAAATTCCAATTGCTCAATATGGCCCACGTGTGTGCGCTTCATTGTACAGTCACACTCACAAGCGCGCGCGCAGCAGGCGCGGAACGGTTGCGCAAACGCTTTCCATTTCACCCGCGCACACATACAGCCTTTTGAGCATAGATACTTTTCACTCGGCACTAAGATAGAACATTTATGAGCTCAAACCAAATTTATGGTCGAAATGTTGCGCGTTTCACAAAGATATGAGTTTGTTCGCACTTGGAATGACACGTTTTGTTAATTAAGCAAAACGAAATTCATTTGCATATCGGAATATCTCTTTCTTCGTAATATGTCGTGTTTTTATATTTGCACGGTTATGTAACGGAATGCCATTCACTGGATTTCTGAAAGATTTTTTAAACGAATGTTTATAAAGCTTTATTTAATTAATAAATATCCTGGGAAGTAAGAACGTACTTTATGGATTGCATTAATTAGCTGGACTGTAATTTATTGATTGCCCTTTGTTTGCCAGAGTGCATGTTTTTACCCACCTAAGTAGGTGGGTGCCTGTGCATTTGCGAGCAGCGATCATGGAATGAGGCACGAAGTTAATTAAATGTCCTGTGTCAAGGCAAATCTATTGTGGCCTTATGTTTATGCATGACAATATTAACAATATCTCAGCATTTACAGCGTTCTTCGGGACAAGAATTTTGTACAAACTAATAATAAACATTTAAGTCAACGACCGATACTTCGTAATTGACATTAATATTGTAAAAGTAATTTTTTTGGTTACTTTTTATCGTGGAAAGCCAGTTATTGACATTTATTTCTTAAAATATTAATGCGTCAGTCAAAATCTTTTATCAATATTGAAAGTGTTGATATTTTTTTTGTTAATAGCCATTTCATTAATTTGTGAATTTTAAAATGAGTTGGTCGTGGTTAAATTATTGTTAATTTATTGTCATTTATTTTACGACGCAAAGTAACACGTCATAACTAACACGTCATTGATTGCTAAAGTGAGCTGTTACTGCTAGTATGTACTGTCACACAAGCAACAAAATGGCACGGAATTTCTAAATGCGCACGCACTTTTATAGCTTGATAAACAGCGTAATAATAATGCCCGTGCGCAGTGAAAATAATTTTCAAACATGGCGTGCGTGCGGGTGACCTACTTACGCCGATAACGCAGGATGTCATAGTTTCCCTAACGCTGGGACGCGAGCGCATGTAACTGCACTATTTTAGATGCACTAGTCGATTGTGACACTATACAGGTGTCCCAAAAAGTAGTGTCAAGCCGAAGCTCAAAGGTAGAGCATCACTAGGGCTATCCGAATCATCCCCATGTACATGTTCTGCGATTTTTGATAGTTTTCGAGTTATGATTGTTTTAAATTTCTGTTCTTAGGCACTTTTTTTGTCACTGTGGCGCGAATAGATAAGCTACATGCCTGATTTTTTTATTATTATTGGATAAATATTTGGCCTATCTGATTCAGAAGTATTTACATCCATAACACGTGTAAACCAAAAAATCCTTTATGTTGTAAAAAAATCATAACTCGAAAACTGTCGAAAATCGCGGTGATCCCGGTAGCCCTAGTGATGCTTTTCCTCTGGGCTTCGGCTTGACATTACTTTTTGGAACATCCTGTTTTTCAAGAATATTTGACTAGTTCTCAGAGCTAAAATGTTGCAAATTAAAAAACATAGAATAGTAGGGACATGAGAATCTACTGAATTTCAAATACTTCTTAAACGCCATCTCTCTTTTTATATTCCATTTATTTATTCATATTATTTTCCTATAAATTGTTTTTTTGTTTTATTGTTCCTTCTACTCGAGATAAATAAAACAAAATTCCGAATTAGATCCTAATCTCAAGTAATTTCTTTTCGCTATCTAGAGCTCTTTGAAAATAATCTGAATTTATAGAGCATTTCAAATCAAATTCTATGAGTCAAATCCAGCTCGAATGCATGAGAGTATTTATTTACTCTCATCTTCAGTAATCTTTCCTCTTTGGTCTTAAAAAAACAAATGACGGTTTTGAACAAATGACGATCTCATTTTGTATTGTTTTCTTAATTTCTTCGAATAAAGTATTTTTTCGTTTCGAACAAATGACGATCTTTCTTATTTTGTTAACTTCTTCGAAACAAGGTAAAGAAACTCATTTCGAATTAGATCTTAATCACAAGTAGGTACTTTCTTTTTGCCATCTAAAACGTTCGAGTGAAACTGTTATCGGGCCCGGCGCTGGTCCTAATCGATTTCGCAATCGACTCTCGCCAGCCACAACTGGGTTACATGTAACATAAATCATAATAATATTAAAGCACTTCACACTTGCGCATCGCGTCGCATTTAGTTCTTCGATCGAGCTTGTTAAACTAACGCGCATGATTGACACACGAAATTTAGGGACAATGCTGTTTTAGGACTTGGTTGAACCTTTAAATTTGTGGTACGAGGACGGAATATGATTTAAAGCAGTTGTCATCGTAAGTTATGAAGCAGAAATGCACAATGCATTTTGCTTGTTTTTTTGCATTAATAACCTAATCTTTCCATAGAGTTGCATAAATTAACGGTTCATTAAATTAAAACGTATAAGTGATTTAATGAAACGCATATTGTATTGCATAGGAAAAACATCATTACGGTTGAAATCACCCTCACTCGCATAAACAATCTAGTATTTAAAAGGAAACAAATCTCTTGAAAAACCTTAACAAAAAATACGTAGGACTTAGCACGTAAACACTTTACGGCTCCGTGAGCACGGAATACCGCTAAAGGTAGGTATACTAGATACAGCAACAGTAAAAGTGGATGACGTTTGTTCCTTATGCTGCTAGTAACACGGGTCATAATGTGCAGTCATCGTGTACGTAATGAGTCAGGCCTCATGCGACGTCAGGACGCCTAGGTTGCGTAATGTAACTGACCTACATGGATGCCTGGCCGATGCACCCCTCGGCTATAACTGGATTACATCCTGTGGTACATTGACACGATGAAGTAATGAACCGAGACATCCCTAGGGCGTAGGGTTGCTGAGGCTACTTCAATTAATGCAAAATTAGACGCAACTCTATTACGTATCGGAAAAGAAGATTGAAAGTTACAATATTTTTTTAAAATATCAAAAATCTGTAATTGAAACGAACATTGATATAAATATCAGCTGTCAATTAACAAACGTTGCATTATTTTAAGCTAATTACTAAAGTTTTATATTATAAGGCGTAGGTACCTAAATGTATCTTTTAAAAAATCTGTTAAAGTGATATGCAAGCCAACTAGAGATTGTTAAAACATGCATCACTATCTATAGCGCATCCATGGCTATTCCGATACAGAAATAGGATTGGCATTTAGATAATTGAACTCGCTTTTACTGGGGTACCTACCAACTGATGTAATCTTCTGCGCTGTCAGTCGAAGCCGTCACTTCGTTTTTAACAGACCCTAGTTGGAATTGCTCAAGTTTCAGTGTTTAGTGAAAATAGAGGTAGATTTGTGGACTAGTTCTGAACCGATCAGGGAAATGATAAGCTTATATGGCCCCGAGGCGTGTTTCTACGCCGTAAATGGCGAAAACGGAACTTTTGTAGGAGGCCGGTTTGTTTACAACTTCACTGGAAATCAGATTATAGCCCTTATTAGTGTTCTAATTTCCATTCGAGTCTGTTAGTTTGACATAATTTACATTTAACTACTAGTGATTACTCATTTATTGCTTTTATTTTTTTTAAATAAATACGCCTTTGAGCTATTCTCTATGCTGCTTTTGCTCTAATAATATAAAAGCTATAAATGACGATAAACTTTGACGATGTTTCACGAATAAAGATTAGTAAAAATGATAAAGTTCATGAATCATTGCACTATACGGATAGGATAATAAAATCTTTGTTAGCTAATAATTGAAATGTTTAAAATATAATTAAGCGTAATTAAGGAAACATTTTCATTCATTATTTACATAGCCTAATTTCACGCTGGCCTAATACCCCTGGTGAAAGGTTATCCGCTATCAATTAACACCATTTAATTATTTAAAACGCCTGAATCTTCTGACGTCAATTTATTATTTAAAGAGTTGGCGTTCTCAATACCGTATTTTTAGTATAATAAAGTGTGCAAGTCATTGACCTTATTAGTGAAGTCAGTGATAACCGATGATACGACTCGGCGAAGTGTTTTTCAGCGTTCTGAATTTACTTGGAACACGGAAATAACATTCGTGCGTCTTTATTTGTTTAGTTAGGTCATTGGATGTTTACGAACTATAACATTTAATGTATGATAAGTGTAACATCAACTTGTAACTAATTCAGTGGGTCTAGACAAAGTACACATTATAATCGCAAGTCTAGGGGGCAGAGTTAAGCAGCTTTTCACTCGACGCTAGTAATAAAGCATTCTTTTCAGATTTTTTTGATCAATTAAACAAACAAAATTAAGAAAATAAAGAAACTGTGATCACTTTTCACCTGTCAGTTTATTACAACCTGTATTTTACTTAGAAAAAAAAGCACAAGTAAAAGCAATCTTACCTTGGTTCAACAGAATGTAGACTTTGAGGCAAACATACTCCTCCATGCGGAGCTGAATGCGGCGGAAGACGCAGGTGATCTGGGTCATCTTTTCTACCACCAGCCCCACGTCTAGCTTCAGCTGCTCCAGCGTGATGGGCCGACCCATCAGTGACGTCAGACACGTCTGCAGCGTCCGCAGGTTTGCGTTCACCTGGTGGACAATAAAACTGCTGTTATAGTCACTTCATTATGATCATCATCATGTGTCCACCTAGTGAATAATGATATTTGGGAACTACAGTTAGAGCCACTTCATCATCATCATTATCATTAGCCCTCTATGGTACACTGCTGGACATGCGTTCCCCAAAAAGTGCCAAATGCCAAATCGGCATAGTTGCAGTTGTTAAATTATTAAATTCTTGGGTTTATTTAATTACAATTTGAAGCAATAAATGAGACATGATATACTCGTACGTTGAGCTGCCGTTGATTGATAACAATCTCATGTAAGTAATAAGCAATCTACTCATATAATAGAGACAGACAAAAGACAAAACAAAAAGACAAAAGACGGTGTTTAAATCTTAAATCTCCTGATCAATAGTGATTGTCTTATCTTATCCATATTTATAGTACCTACCTAATATTTTACGAGGTTTCAAAATCATATTTTTAAATACCAAAAAAACCTTTTAAGCCGCTGACCTACATTCAATACACAAAATGTTTACCGCATTTTCAGTGATCCATAACATATTTCTGGATCGTGTGAACGTTACCGACGTCAATAAATTACCCTCTCATTGTGAGTTGCGTGTCAATAATAATTCATACGAGCGCCGGCCACTGCCATATATAAACTTAGGCGTATTATAATTAGACTTTAGTCTTTTGTTAAGCTAAGTAGAGATAAATCTTTGGTTGTAGGTGAGCCAACCTTAATACTGATTTATCGGTTAACTGACTTCTCTATTTGTGGTTTACTATGGTTTGCATTTGATATACTATATCCATTTAACCTTTTCCTTCCTTTATTATTAGACATAGAAATTATAAATTATTGGCCAATTACTCAGATATCAGACAGAACACGGTTATTAATTATATTAATAACACGATTTACACGATGTGTTAAAAACAGCTCGATATTTTACGTAATCCCCTGTATGTAAGTGAAGGAAATGCTCTAGACAATGAAAATTACTTTCTGCAACTACCGCTATTACGGCACGGCTTACCTTACTGCCTTACATAATACTAGCAATTGCTAGTTCGTACATTCTGATATTGCAATAGAATAGTGCGTGCACACTTGAACTCGTATACCAGATAGTTTAGTGATCGAGGGTCAATTTGTGTGCCTTTTAAATATCGTTTTATTTGGTGATCGTAATAAATGTCCATTAAACTTTATGGAAGATCCATAAAAGATACTTATAATACATAGAAGCTAATATCATAAAACTTTTCAACTAAATTGATTCACGATTCTATTACGTGACGAGAAAATGGTTCTAAAATCGGTTTATGTAGGTTTATACTTAAATCTACTTCTGAGCAAGACTTCATTTTATATTTGTCTATGATGAAGTAATTCCTATGCGTAGTCCACTAGAAACGCAATGTCATATTATGCGGTTCTAATAGTGCAAGTTATGCAGGCAGTGTGGCTGCGTCCGAAGGCGAATGCAGCCGTTGTCTGCGACTTTCTACGTTGCGCAAGCGATGCAGCTCACGTAACTGCACTCCGGCGCATGTGGCGGAAGTCTCCGCTAATGTGACCTGAGCTTAGTAACTGGTACTGGTGCGATCTAGCCCAGGGACGCCATGTTGGATTTCATCAGGAGAGTAAAGTGAAACCGAACGCGCCAATGAATGGGGCTTAGCTCTTTACTAGTTTATTTTACCGTACGTTCTAATATTTATATGCTACTTCGTAGATGATGATGTTCTTTTAAAGACTTCATCTAAAGTAAAAGTATTTATCCGCTATGATGCTACTCTTATTGTTCAGACAATAGAAATTGTAGTTCAACTAGATTTATTGTTGCACACGAGCTTGGTAAATAATGAAAGTGAAAATATCTTGAAAGGTTGCCCAGTGAGCTCAGTGAAACTTGCAGTTTAGTTACTGTACACCTACGCGTGCTACCAGGCTAATAAATTCTGATTTAGATAATTTGCGCAAGAAAACTTTGCGTCTAAGAAAGTTACTGTCATTTTCCCGTATGAAGTAATAGCTATAAGAAAACGTAATCGTCTACTAAAATTGCTAATAAAAAAATAATTACCTCTTGCATAAAGTCGTATTCTTGATCCGGCGGCGGCACGTGCGCGTTCTTTCCATGCATCGCCTGGTACGCCGCCGTGGTCAGCACTGAGATCTCATGCCACTTCTCCATTAACAACTTTGAGTGGACTTCCATAGGAATCTCCATTATAAATGGTAGCTTCTTCGTCCAAGCTACCATTTTGTGTACGATGGAGTCCCCGATCTTGCATAACTTGTCGCCAATTTCTGACGTGTCATGGAGCAAGTCTGGTAAATGCCTCACTGTGGCTATGTCCTCCATGGCATCACACTCTATCAGTGTCCGGATCATGTGTAATGCCCTCTCTAAAGGGACAGCACGATCTCGAGATGATGACACGGCGCTTTCAAGGCGTGCTCTTAAATGAACCACCTGCAAAGGATACTTTTTTCAATAATGGAAAAATCATTCACAGGCTAGTGTAAAAGAGGTAGTTGAAATTTACGTGAGTATTCTTACCTCGCTAGGGTTGGTTAATGCAGTCTTAAGGATGGTCCCGTTGACCAGGTGCGGTGGGAGTGGAGGTAGGGGATCTTTCGGCTTCTCCGGCGGCGACGCTCGACTCGTTGTCGTCGATGCTTTGTGGGCTTTCTTGTGCTTCTTATATTTCACCTTGTACAAATTATAGACAGCTCCACTATTTCGGCCACCAGGCATCCGATCCTCGCGTACCGCTGATTAACAAAAGAGAAAAGTTAGTACTTTGTTTTAAAAATCAAAATAAATTATTTTAAATATTAATCAAAATGTATAAGTACCTTGTAAAACCATTCCCTGCTCAATACACTTTTTAAACCGGCAATATTGACATCTATTACGTTGTGCCTTTGTAATTTCACAGCCACCATCCGCAACACACGTGTAAATGCGTCGGTTTTGTACAGTCCTTTTGAAAAAACCTTTGCAACCTTCACACGTAATTATGCCGTAATGCAGTCCTGTCGCTTTGTCCTCACAAATCATGCAAATCATGGGTTGTTCATCCTCCTCGCGCTCAGCTTCAGGGGCATATGCCCGGAGTTCTGGCCGAGGGAGAGCCAGAGGAGAGCTGGCGCCCGATGCTGCCGACCCGCCCGGCAAGCTGCCTGCCGCAGCGCTCAGATTCAATGCATGCATCTGCTGATGAGCGGGCAGCTGGGTCATATCCCCAGCCCATAACAACTCCATGTTTAGCGCTGGTCCTCGTGGCCGCCTTAACTCTCCACCGAGATTGAGCAGCAAACGCGCAGCTGACTCTTCACTACACGTGGCAGGCTCGGGAGTAGGTGGGGTGGGCGTGTGAGATGAACTCGCTGATGACTCCCCGCTCGAAGAGGGCGTGGGCAAAGACCAGAACATCGTCCGAACACCACCCGACTCGCCCATTATAACCGTTGGAGCGCCTCTCCATGGCGCACCTCGCCTCTCTCCAGTTTTGGGGTCGTGCGGTTGCGGTGGGAAATGTCCGCCTATTAGCTCTGGTTTTACACCATTAAGGCAGGCAGCAGCCGGCCAGGGGCTCGGCGCGATATTCGTGTGCGAGTTCGGTAGAGCAGTAGCGATAGACCGGGGTCTGTACGATTGCGGGAGCTCCTGCGGGGTGCTCTCCACCTTGACTTGAATGGGGGAGGGTATATTGGTTTCTTGGTATTTGTTAGGTTGGAAGCCTTCCGTCTTGATAGAAGGCGGCGTGCCCTCGAACTTAATGACGGAGTATTGCGGAGCGGAGCGGATGACGGACTGGTGGCTGCAGGAGCTGGGCGAGGGCGACGGAGAGCCGCCGCCGTCGAACACGGGCGGCGGGTGCGGCGGCGTGCTGCAGCCCGCCTCCGCCATGCGCGGCGACGGCGGGCCCGGGTCCGGCGACGACGTGCTGGTGTCGGCGGCTGACTCGCCTGCGAACACACAATTCACATCAAAAAAGAATAGCTATACACGGTTTAAGTTGAAAAAGAACTCCAAAATTTTTTGAAATGATAAATAGAAACTAGGTGAAATGTCAACGACCGCGCGGCGTGATCGTAGTTAGAACGCGCGGGGCGCGACGCGGGGACGCGACACTGCACTTCCCGACGCCGCCGACTAGATTAGCCGGTTGCGTCACGATGCGAGCGCCGCGGCGGCCCTGTCATACAAAAACTATGCAAATGTAGGGAGCAACACTTTTCCGGGTGACAATAAATAAGATACCCCTAGACACCTAGACGAGTTGTGAGAATTTATTCAAAAGCGTTAATTTAATGAAAATTATTATTGAAATGATAAATTAAGGGTTTATGTAACTATGCGGAATAGAAATGGAAAATGTAGGAAGCGTAGTTGCAGGTCACTGTGGGCGCGAACGCGAGATGCGGCGCAGCGCGCGAGGAGAAAGTGAAAGCGGCGCGAGCGCAGATGCGGCGCCCGGAAGCCTGCGCCTGCGCTGCACCAACATCACAAAGGGCGCTACGTCACACAACTATTTTACGTACTTCAGTAACTGTAAACTATTAATGTTACAGTTATTTAAAAACACAGTTTATCACACGATAAAACGATGAGATCTTAACGTTATACTAAAGCTGTTAGAAATTATAACTTTAGATTTGCATTAAATCATAGCTATTGCATTTATACGAATAATTAGAAATTATGAATAAAATATTTCACAAGCACTTAATAATCAGAAACTTTACCGACTTTTTATTACTAAATCCATAGGCGTAGTCGTTACCCTCTCACGAAACCGCCAGTTTACATTGCAAACACTTTATTGTTCATATATTTCAGAAAATCAGATCTATTTATCACATTTGTTTAGACCTCGTGAATCGACGAGTGTGAACCCGCGAATTAGTCCCGAATATAGCGTCACGACGTCATCCGCTATGAGCGCGCGATGCGCTGTGCAAAGGGCGCGCGCGGGCGCAAATTTTTCGCGGTTTTGTTTACGGGAGGAAAAGTCGCGAAGAAAGTTTTCCACAGCCGGCGCGACGGCGGGCGGCGGGCGCGCGCAGTGAGCCCGACCTACCGCACGAGCGGCAGTCCGCCCCGCTCCCCGCGCGGTGCTTCCCGGTCCCTCCCTCCAGCCGCTATTAGGTCACTCAGGCGGCCGTGCGTGCGAAGTGCAACCGCACAATGACTAGTGCAACGCGTGCACCGCTCTCGCTTCGAGGACGATCTCTATTTCACTCCGCGTCCTTTGCCACATCATTGGTGGGGACCGATCTTTCTAGCCGAGTGATGCAATCGAGGTTCTAGGTAGGCTCGGTCGACGCCTAGATAAATGTCCCGTTTTGATTGCTAGCTGTTATGTCGGTTACTAGATACCTCGGCGAACGAGGAAAGCGAACTGCCCACAGATGCCGAAGCATGCCAGCACTTTGAGTTTTAGATGGGCTTATACAATTGTGTAACAATAATGTTTAATTTGAATTGATGTGTTCATTCAGTAATAGATGTTGTCTGCTAACAAACAACCATTAGCATAAAAAGCTTGGAGCGCGATAGACAGACAACAATAAAGGTTGTTACGCAATGCACTCTTCTATTTTGGGGCGGGTGATCGCAATCGTTTCGATCGTTGCAAGCTCGAAGGTCGCTGGCGGTCACCGACCCGGGGAAAATGGGTCAACCCCCTACCCCAAGCGCCTCCGCCGAGGCACGGTGACGCCACGTGTCGCTATGCCCGGCCCACTCGCGTCATATCAATACTGCGCTTCGCCGGACAGTAATCTCATATCAATGAAATTGAAACGCTCGTTTTCACTGATTAATGAATGATTAATTAATATCAGTTATTGGTATAATCCCTACATTTTAAAATAAAATACAAGTAATTATTTCCCTTGTCTGTTACTTAACAGGTAGTCATACTAGTTTTATTATGAATAGTTTTTATGCTATTATTTATAATGTAGAGTAGGCAAGTATTTCTTTTACTTATAGTCGTAGAGTATGATTTATTTATTTACGGCGGCATTGTATATTTGGTATTTAGTGGTTTCTTGAATTGTTTAATATTTAACATGACATCTTCTTCACCCTTATTGCGAGATATAGAAAAATACTTAAGCTACGAAAAGGTTTAAAAAGTCCCTTTTTACAATAAAAATTAAACGCAGTAAGGGAGCTGCGCGGCAAATCATTTATGCACGCACAGACCACCCGTTATCGCGAGACCTTCAGTCGTACGATTAGCTATGTGATTTCGAAGCTTACTATTTTTCAAACTCCAATCTCTTATCTGACTTACGTACTTACTGGTTGCATTTAATTCAATGCAACTGATTCCAATACGATTGCGTTATCGGATTTGCGCTACCTACGCGCAAATGTTTCGCCTACTTTGAATGATTTTGAGTGGTTTCGCATTATTTTTGTATTATTGTTTATTTTACATATTGAAACTGTAAGTGATAAAAAGTATTTCTTATCAGTACACACATGTAAACAATTGAAACACAATGTTGTTGTTATTGTGTAAGGCTTTTGAGATTAACAATCATCTATGAAATGCATGTAACATTGCAATAATCGTGTTTAAAAATGTAGAGTAGGTACCTACTACAAATATGTAGTAATTAGGAAAAGTCTGAAAGATATTTTAGCGTAGTTCCTACTTAACTTTTATACTCGTAGCAGCAACGATTAATCTCTTTACAAGTCGTCATTCTTACTACATTATACAAACAAGCGAGGATCGCGTCACGCTGGCGGGCACGCCCCCACGTCACAGCGCGTCACGCCACGCACGTGACTTCGCGTGAACGCTTAACGCCACCGACACGAAATCGTTATCTAGATTTATCCGAAACTGAATGATGCGATAAAATTAGACATTGCCATTCTATTTTTAATTCACGACCGCGATGCAATTGCGTGTTTTGGTGTCGCACGGATACTAATGTGTGACGTGGGCACATTTTATGGATTCTCGTATTAGATCAACCGTGAACCGTAGTCGTAGTAAACGTAAGCAATGTTGTTTGTGTGATCCGATTTCCGATTTGATTGTCTGCAAATCTTGGTTAACGTCTACAGTTTGTTTTGGTTACAACTAGCATTGAATCATCTAGAAATCATAAATGTTATAGTAATTTCAAATCATTTTTTAACGTCTAACGCAATGTAATGGAACTAATATAGAAATAATAAATCAGTTGAAAGAGATGACCTCGGATGGTTGGCGCTTGGTAAATTTAGCCTTCGACCCATCAAATTCTCGTCCAGGGTCGCCGAGGGCACTGCTCTGACTACAATGTCATAATATATTTTAACCTAGATATAAAGGTAACTCATAAATCGTAGTACAATCAAGTAATATGAATAAACAGATTATATTTTTGAATTTGTTTCACGTTACCTTTGAATAGATAAAGTATTTGTTAACACGAATAGTTTTAATATCAAATTTTAATAGTTTCCCACAGACCAGAAACATAAAGACTTTTTACAGACTATAATAATACTAGACCTGGCAAATACCGGTTACGTTAGTCACTTAAAAAGATATCATATTTTAAAGTGCTAAAAACCATCATCACGTTCTTGCTCTTTCATTTCGACAGAGCGGCTTTTAGCTAAAGAGCCATTCATCGCAAAGCGGGCGCCGCGGGCGAAATGTTACGTTGTACGACAGTGAATCTTTCTCTCATGCCATGCCTTATTCATGAGCCCACGATAGCAATAATTACAGCACTGGTATTTATTGCTTTCACCTCGCGGTTTACGTAAACTTTCTTTATCACTGTGACTTCATGATACGTCATTATTGCGCAAAGGTTGATGGATTGTGGGGTTGTTTAAAGTGGTTTAAGAAAAAGTATATGATCATTAAGTCCTGAAACCTTTACATACATGAAATAACAGTTATACTCTCGTTAACGAGCTAATTACAAATAATATAGATTGCATTAGTTATTTAGTCCAGCAAATTACCTCTTGTACAGCCAAAGGATAAAAGTAATCGTACTATAATCTATAAAAAAAACATATCTAGTACATAATGATTCATTGAAGTACTAAAGGTACTTGAACTATTGTACTACAGATTGCATATTAACATTATACCGTATCGTTGTCGACGATAATCCCGTTAAGCCATAGTGGCGTTATAGTAGAGTCGCGCCCGCGCCGGACCGGTCCTCTTTTTGTCTGTTTTTGTGCACGAGTGAAAGTGAGGTCATTTCTCGGAACCAGTCGCTGCTTTCTCACGCCATATTATTATTATGTTGTTGCCTCGTTGTTATTCAACTCTCGGCAGATGACAGCGATTATCAAACACTAATTTGTTTAACTTACTTGTTGCATAACGGAAAATTATTTTATTGGACACGTTTTAACTTAACGGTTAGAAAACTATGAATATCTAATCTTAGTTTTTAGACATTTTTAAGGAGAAAGAGGTGCAAATATTTGGCAGTTTCAATAGTTTTACGATCAAATGTTGTAGTTTAGCTAATATCTTAATCATAGGCTTTCCAGCAATGACCTTTCCAGGATCATCAGTATGTACAAGGCATGCAACTATTTATGGGATAGCAATTGACATCAGCCGCTAACGGTGAACATAAAGCCTTAAACGAAATCGAAACGACAGTGACGAAGAGAGTTCGCCGTCGTAGTCGAAAGTGACAGTTGCGTTCGTGAGGCGAGTCGCAATCGTGATTCCGATCGAGTGACAATAAAGCTAACAAGTCTTGATCAGTTGATGGACTCGTCCAGTGAATACTAATAGTAGATGAGAAGCGTGTGTAAAGAAGGTAAACATTACCTTTGGCAATGAAAAAGAGTCGTTAAGCTTGACACACACGATCAGTTAAACTGATGAGTTGAACGTACATTCAAAATTTCACTGTGTGTTCGAAGTTTCAGTCAGTACCTACGTCATTTCAAGTGATCAGTTTAACTGTCCGTGAATGTAGAGCTTTAATCACTTATTGTATTGAGATGCAGTGATTTTGCATATGCACATTACTATTGATATGAAAATGTAGGTGTTTTTATATGAGATGAGAAATTAAAATGATTCCTTGAGAATAAATTGTCAAGGTTGGAGCTCTTTTTCAAACTTTAAACTAAGTCAAGTATGTAATAAAATGTTTACAAAAGTTATTAACATAGTGGACTCACCATCACTACTACATCTGGAGTCAACTTTCCGCCTCTTTAGTTTGAGGTCTTGGAACAGACTCATGTTGTCCACCAGCTCACACGGGCCGCGGCTGAGTGTCATTATTCCTGTGAACAAAGAAAAATGAACTTTAATACACGTGGATGAAATAATAAAACTTTTGTTTAGCCTAAACAGATTTGTTAGCAGAGCGTGGAGGCAACGATTTCCTTTTTCAGGTTTTCAGGCATAAGAAGGCATAGACGTTTATAAATACTATTTTTTCTTAGAAGATTCACACCAAGCATGGCGGATTGGCTTCAGCGCCTTTATTTCAAAAGAATAATATCGCGGTATGTCGACAACTTTATATGACTTTTGACAACATATCAAAAGTCGCAGGTCAGCGGGTTCGATGTGTAGACTGCATAAAAAGTATAAAAATGCTCAATATAAAAACTGAGTTGAGGCTGGGTTCATAATGATGTTTATAAGTTTATATTGCTATTCGACTTTAAATAAGCGTATTCATCAAACAGTCCCACACACGCATTGCATCAAGTTCACGATCATGACCCTAATTGGAGTATAGCATAGATTCTCCGAATGGCTTCATAGCTTTTTGATTTCAAACTACACAGAATACCAATCGACCTTAATTGTTCTATCAATTCGGAGCTTTTAATAGACGTTTACGACACCATAAAAGTAGAGTGGTTTCGAAATAGCGTCCTAATAAAATATCACCGTTCAAATAAAAAATTAAAAGCTTTCTTGCTGTTTGTAGAGATTTTCCCGTTTTGGTATTATCTAATAGTATAATCACTGCATAAATAGTTGAATAAATATTTTAAATTAATGAGATTTTCTAAATTAATAATAGTTCCATGTAACATTTTTTGAAAATGATGGTACACTCACGGTAACCAGGTGTGATCTTGGGTCGTTCTGAATAAAATGGTCCAGTCACAAAGGGGTACCCATCGTGCATAATTATATCTTTTCCGTATTATATGAGAGGTTTTCAATGTCAGCACAGTTCATGGCAATCGCGCTACTACGTCGGCGCGTGGCCGGCTGCATGTTATATCTCGATCTTACGCGATTTTTCATTCAGCGTAAGAGATTTACGGCTTGATAAAACGGCTATAAAAATTCGCATTTCGGTGCTTGCGTCAAGTCGCCGACGGTGTTAGACATACATAACTTTTATTGACGTAAATACGAAACGATTGAAATGTCAGGAATTTGTTTGAGTGCAACAAGTTGTGGTACCGTTAGACTCTACCTAATACTTGAATAACTGTTTTTTCTTATAAATTAAATACGTAAATTTAGGTAAATTCTACACTGTCATCAATATGAGACATAAATAATTCAGCTACCAATAAACCAAAATTAGTTGAAATGTTAACACATTCGATGTTTAATTAAAATGCCTAATAATTCCGAGTCATGTACCTATGTAATTCGAAATTGTATTAAGTACTACTAAAAAAAATTAATTAGATAAGTGCTTTACTCATAAGTATGCCCTCCGGGAAAATATTATATTATTTTAAAAAGCTGTTATGCAAAAATCTCTAACAGTTAATTACCAAAAATCCATTAACATAACAAAGAGGTATGTCATCGCTTTCGAAAGAGACTGACAGTCGCGAGTTCAGTCCAACCCACCTCAGGAAGTCTCGTTTAACGTTATTATCGTCTGTGGCCCACTTAGCTTATTCTTGTAACGGTCCCGACCTGGCGTTTTTCACTTTGCAAGGAATCCTGGCAGCTGAATATTTAATATCACACTTTCTCTTTTTAAAGATGCAGGATTCCACGTGTGAGGTGTCGAAAGCAGGATTCAGTCGCGAATTTTATTAAACTAGTCCTTTTTCGCGAGCTCGTGAACATTTTAAAACGAAATATTATCGCAGTCACTCATAAAAAGGTCTGTGTCTGTGTATATTCCAAGTTAATTATTTTATTTAGTAGTAACGCTTTTGTTGGCTGATAATTATTGTGGATTTCAAATTTAAACCAAACAATGTACTAATGTACCTAATATCAATAGGCACGAAAATTGAACAATACTCTTGGTATTTTATGTAACAAACTATGTTTAACTCAATCAGGCATTGAAATAGTTTATATTTTCTTTTTGTTTATAGGTAGTTTCAATGTTTTAAAATGTCAATAAAACGATTAAAGTAGAGAGGATCGTATCCTATTTACTTTTTATGAGATGTAATAAAGTAGGTAATATAAATAAATACCTACGGTTCAAAATTAATTACACCACACTTATGTTTTCGTAACTGTTTACCATGCTAGTTAAATGTAGTTACACTCAAACTATGAATAGTAAAGTATTAAGAGTGTATATTTTATAGTAAACTGAACGCTTGATATGATTTGCATATGCCGCGAAGTGCGCATTGAATGCGAATGCACGTCACTCCGATGTATATTAAGAGTAGTAAAATATGACTTTGCATGTAAGATTGTAAACGTCATTGTTAATTTCGTTTTAGATCCAGTTTCGTAATAAATCTATATATATAAAAATGAAACCCGTTTCGCGTTGTCACGGCATCACGTGTGAACGGCTGAACCGATTTCGATAATTCTTTTTTTTAAATGTTTGTGGAAGTCCAAGGATGGTTCTTACGGAAAAAAATATTAAGAAAATCTCTACGCTAAGGCGGTACGAAGTTCGCCGGGTCAGCTAGTTATCTATAAAGATTGGAGATGATTCTATTTATTATTAGTAAATACTTCATTTCTATATTACGTCGTATTAGATCGCACTAAGATCACATCGCAATATTTCAAGATAAAATCTTAAAATATAGCGGTGACGATGAGAATTGCAAATATTAGGATACTAATTAATTTAAATCAGAAAATTAAAAACGATTTTCCTTATGTCATAAAGCTTCCAATTTTATCGTCTGATTCTGAGTATCAAGCTAGCTCTCCAATCTCAGCTGAATAATCATTTAAGTTTTTTAAGCAATATACTTCACTGAGTCTATACATATCTCGTGCCAGAATCAATCATAAATAATATACAATATAGAATGCTATGTACATAAGCGATTAGATTACACTGAACACCGTTTACATTATGTACACGCTACTTAGTTGCCGACACGTCACGAATACGTTTTCGTCATAATGACCGATATAGTTCATTCATACAGCTTATAGTAGTACAAAGGTTCTTGAACCGAGCTAACACTTTAAGTGTCGATGATCTACATGTAAACAAAATATTTTGGGGTTCCAGACCATGAGTCACTACGATCGTTACAGGTTGTCGCATTGAGTAAGGTTAAGCGGGGTATTAAAAATAGATGGTGTTAACAACTTTGCATAGAGCAATACTAACACGCATTTTTATAACGACTATACCATCAATTGAAAAGTTAATTGGTAAGCTTGACTGACCGAAACAATAACTTTTACGATTCAATTTCTGATTTAAAATAAAATAAAATACTCGCGTAAGAGTTTTACGTAAAGAAAGCACCGTTCTTTGACGTAGGAATGGAGAAAAATGCATCACGTAACACTTTACTACACTGATAACAGCTTGAGTCATTCCAGCGTCAATGCACACTATTGTAAAATTCTATACTCGTATTTCTCCACGTGCCATTCATCATATCATTGCGTCCGCTACGTTATTTTGACCTCGTAAATATTGTGTAACGTCATAAACTCTCCGTAACATTGACATACGAGTCATCTTAATTTTACATACTTGAGTAGGTTTAATATTTAATTATACTTTTGTTCGTTGCACGCTGAAGAAAAACACATTGTGGGTTCAACATAACGATTACAGTTGTTATTTTTTACACACGTGACGAACTAATAAAAATACCGCGACGCACCGCCAATAACAAAGCGACAATCACGAATTCTGTTGTGTCAACACAGATAAACGAACTCTAAGAGTGTCTAAAATAAACCGGACCGAGTCAAAGACCTTGATAATGGAGTTTACATTGAGCCAATAAACGATTCGCGAGTGGACGTCTCTCGCGATTTCGACGAGGTCTGTCCTGCTTCCGTGATATGCAATATCAATTAAATATTTATAGATCAGCATAATGACTAAATATTGATTCACATTAGCTTATGAAGGCGTTAGCATAAAGAGCGTGAAATTAGTTCCGGCAGTTAAAAAGCTACATTTTGATATGATCATTCTAAGATCATTAGAATATTAAAAGAATCGGTCTACATGTGTGTTGAAATGAATTGTATTAATTTATATCATATAACTATTCTGGAAACCCAACGTGTCGCGTCAAGTATTTAAAAATAAGTATCCTCGCTTTGGGACAGTCAAAGATTAAAGTCAATAAAAACGTGAAGAAACCCGCAGTCTGACAGACGTCAAAGGACAAAGGATTTCGTAGTGATTCGTGAGACGTGCGGAAGTCATACGTTGTAGACTGCGTCCTTTGCCAGGGCCGCCATTTTGACCGGACCAACGCTGTTTTTGTGCTTTGTGTAATACGAGTATGACTGTACAGTGTACACCGACATTTCAGAAAAAAGTTCACACAATATTTTAAAAGCACCATTTGTTAATCCGGGAAAATCCGAACGGATGGTAACCCTATACGACTGAAATTAGATGAAGACATTTATTAGACAACGCTGAAATTACTGAATGTGATAATTGGTTGCAATTTGCTCATAAATATTTATTTAGAACCGTTTGATAGATACGCACATTCGCGTGACAATTAACAATTAAATTGTTATTTTGAGGCTATAATAGCATCGATTAGCTCACGTGTATGCATTCTAGATTCGGGAACTGTTGCGGTAACCAGTTTAAGGAGATCTTGTGTTTGTTGTTGTGTTCACGGCAGCGATGGTCAGGCAAACTGGTTAGTTAAGAGGAAGTGGAAGGTTCCGGGCAATGTCAGTGTCGTGGCGAGGCCGACTGCCCAATTCGGGTACTAACGACCGCATAACCACTAGTTCACGTTTATGTTTGTCGTAGTTCACTTAACACACCTCTTAAAATTTCCTTCTACATTGTAGGCATTTAAATGATATGTTAAGGCACTTCTTAGTGAAGTTTTACATCTACGATTGGTTACCAAGCATGAATAACCTTTGATCTTGAAACGAAATATATATAATAAGATCTCTATTACCGATTAAATACCTTAATCGCGAATATTCACAGGAAAATGGGTCAATTGAATTTTAAAACGTAATAAAATTAACGGAATTTTATCTTTTGGCTGATCAAAATGCGTCCAAAATTACAAAAAATCTTAAATATTAACTTGATATTAGTGTTGAGGCCATTGGTCGAGATTTTTGATCTTATCGACCTTGCTAGTTTCATGTATAGCTCAGATTTCAATTTTAAAGCATCAAAAGTTTTAAAATTTACACTTGCGATGGAAAAGATTTCAACGCATCAGCACCGTTTAATGTTAGTTAAAACATCATAGTCCACTTTTCAATGGATACTTTTCTGATAAAAATCATAATTTAAACATAATGTATCTTTATCAATGATCAATTTTAGTAATGCGATTGCCACATAGGTACTGGTGGTTTATCTCTTTGTTTGTCATCTGTAAGCCGATTTGGACTTGTCCTCCAGACCGCGACTTCCTTCCAACCACGTTTTCTTGTTTTCTGGCTTTTAATTCATTACTTATTTTACAGCAAAATTATCCCTGGACTAACACAGCCTTATCTTCTTCGTTCGTTCGTTCGTTTCAGCCGAAAGACGTCCACTGCTGGACAAAGGCCTCCCCCAAGGATTTCCACAAAGACTGGTCCTGCGCCGCTCGCATCCAGGCACCTCCCGCGACCTTCACCAGATCTTCTTGGTTTTTATTTATTATTCGATTCTGTCACAAGAGCGAGGCGGTGGAAATGAGAGATTGCAGTTTTTAGTTATAATATAGTTTATCACCACTCGCTAACACAGCTTGTTATACAAAATCTACGACTGGACAGTTTAACCCGGAAAGAATATTAATTAGGCAAAGCTGTTTTGACAATCTTTTGTAATATTAAAAAGGATTTCATCAAGTTGCATCGTGTTCCGCCCCAGCTCTGAGCCGGCCTCCGCGGCGCCTTGACATTCACGCTGCGCGTGCGCAACGCTAAAACGTTCCATTTTTAACTCCACACTTCCGATCTAACCATTTCCTGATCCATTCGTCTTGGCTGCATTGATTTCGATAATCTGATAGTGTTCTGTTCACGCTGGCGTTTCCGCAATCCTTCCTAGACGTTTAGACATTTCAGTCTAGTTCAGAAAATGACTCGTGAATAAACTACGTATTGCAAGCTCCATCATAGATCACATCTACGAGTATACTTCAACGTTATATTGTTTAGAGCCAATGCGAAAAAATACACGACCAATTTATTTTTGCCAGATAAAACAGACTGCAATATCACGCTTTGAAATCAATGCACAAACGTTTACGTGACTACATCGGCGTACGGAGCTTTTAAAATACAATAATAGAGTATTTTAAGAGATGCAATCAATGTGTTAACGAGTATAATCACAATTAAATTGTAATACCAGTTTCGAGTTCATTAATGATGGCACTTATAGACAAAACACGTTTACCTATATAGAATTATGAAGAAACCATATTTTGTGCATAGTTTTAGCGTTACTGTTTAATAAAACCACATAAGATCTAAATATCAAGCAAATGGGCAATTTCATTTGAGTGTGGTGCTTACAGCTGAGTAATCACCACTTAGATATTCAAAACTGCGAATAATGTATTTTCTAATAGGCGGGCTGTAACGCCCATTATCATTTAACTAGACGCTGACATGCTGACACTACAATGCTTTGAAAGGAAGCAGTGTCATTCGGTACCTTTTCGCTTTCACCGTATTGGAAAGTAAGCGTAAAAATGTATTTCGGCAACGGCATAATGGCGCCGGATCAACGACCCCGCAGCCATAGACCGTGGTGGCCATAGACAAAGAGTGTACGTCGTTAAGCCTACTTAAGGGATAGTCATAATAGAAATAGGAACTTACATTGTTCGTTTTTGAATTGCGTTACTCATAGGCATGACTGTGTACTTTATGTGCAAAAATACAATGAACTCGGAACAAGAAAAGTTTGGATGCCTCCGTCTGAAGATGTAACTTCTTTTCTTTACATAGCGCTTCCCTTCAGCAGCATCTCATGTTCTTAAACATTACTTATGTGGATCAAAATATAAAATGGAAAACGATCTATAATCTAACGACTGTCATTTGTTAGCAGTAACGAATTCATTTGGCGGTACAAAGTAGCCTTACGAAAGTAAAAGTTAGTCCGGCCACAGCCGAGCGGAATGGTTATGCAGTCACGATCTTGATCCACGAGATGATTTGGGAATGTCACGGTTAACGTTGGACGTGCTCGCTATTTTGCAATGTACCGTTTTAATTTTGCATTGTTTCTGCAGTGCAGTTTCGTAATCAGTTGCAGTTTACAAGTGGACTGGCAAGAGTTGGTTTTTGACCTTTGCCTGGTGTATGTATAGTCGGTCGCTTGAGAACGATGATACGAATAGGTGTTCGATAGGATATTCATCTTCGCAATTCATAATCTTTAAAAGAAAAACTGGTTCGGTTTACGTTATTAACACCCGTATTTCACAAACGATACTTGCTTATGTGAAGCAGAAAATCGAACGAACAGCGTTGAATAGAGCTGTGTGATTCGTTCGTTGTGGTTCGTGTGTGACCCTGTGCGTCCACGCACACTGTGAGACCTCATAGTAATGTTTGTGAATACGGGCGTTAGTTAGGTCACTTAGTTATCACGTAATGCTATATGTATAAGTACTCGTAGGTTTACTCTCGCTGGCGGCTAGTCAGTGTGATGAATACGAAAGTATACCTAGTAGTTAAAATAAATTCTTACTAAGGCTGGGTTGCACCATCTTACTTTAACTTTGATAAATGTCAAAAATCTGTCAAACTCTATACAAAAATCACCGGTTTTCGTTAAAGTTACGGTCAAAGTTAGGTGGTGCAACCCACCCCAAGTCATGTGTAACTGTTGACTAGTTGCAATAGAGTCAACTTCGTTTGTGGATAAGTAATAATTAGTGTATATAGAAAAATATTTCTAAATAATTAGATTACTCACTGATGCTAAAGCAGTAGTTATTTAATCAATTAGTGGGTATTTATTTTGAAATTTAAAATTGAAATCAGTTTGGTAGCATACGATATTAAAAAAATAATTAATCTGTTTTGGTTGGAGACAGGTCTATGACTAGGTTAATACATAAAAAATAAATTGGTAATGACAATATTGTTTGGCCCGCGGCAGATCATATTTCTTTTTATGAAGGTACCTATACTATACTACCTAAGCATTTTCTGAATATTCCGGGAAACATTTTTTCATTAACAAATAACTACTTAACTAAACTAAAAAACATATTTAATATACATTATATTAAAATAAACAAAAATCATCTCGGAGGTCTTACTACGTAGCTTTCGTAGCAAGCTCAGCGTAGCAGCGATAAGCTACGGCTACCGTCGTAGACGCTACGATTTTTCTCATCCCTTTATTGTTCAATCTTTTCATAAAACTTAAATAAAACGTCATGCATATACATTTGGTGTATGATTTTTTACATTATAAAGATACTTTTATTTTTGTTGTATTTATGTTTTTATTTTTTTTGGAAACGTTAGGTAATAAAAATATGACAATATTATTTTGTGTTCAGTTAATATTTAAATATTTTTGATGTTTTAAATTAAAATTTTACGTGTGTTTGTGAAGTGATAAGGTGCATATTTACCCATTGTGGAGGTCATATTCTGCACTTGTAGAGCTTGTGCGGAGGCGTCGTGCGCCTCGTGGGGCCCCAGCTTGTCGGCTCTCGACAGCTTGTCTACAGCCGCACTTCGCACATCACACGAACGTTCCACCTTGTTCCAGGAACACCGATCACTTTAATTTTCGTCTCCTAAAATTCTTCGACACTCCAACTCTCAGCATAGTTTTTTACGCAAGCACTTGACACCGACACCTTCAGCATTCAGAGTCCGGCGCACTTCCTGCGGAGTGAACACATGAGTTGAGTTGCGCGGGCGCGTATCGCGGTCTCGTCGCGGGTCTGCGCGCTCTCCGAACCTCTAGATTCGGCAAAATCACGATAACGACTGCGCGCGAATGTCGTCATGTCGAAATTCGAAACACTTTCACCTAAATATTCCGCCTCCGTTTCGGCAGACGCGGGCGTCGCTCTCGGCGCTCACGCACACACCGCTGACTTCGTCAGTTCTCAATTACGTACGCTGTAAAAATTGCGTCAGTGTTTTTCGTAGCCGACCTTACGATCGACGAGTACGCTGCCGAAATATAGTTATCTCTCTCTGTTCCTCATTCACCGTTACGCGGGATGTTTTTTGTTTCGTTTTTTTATCTGGCCGTTTCATTGGAGGACACGCATGTGAGTGTGCGGATTTCGATAGCGGGGTCGTTGAACCGCCGAAAGGGATTTCGTTGGTAGTCAGTGGTGATGTTTCAGCGCTAGGATGGTTGCAGTAACAGTGATGGGTGTACCTAGCACAACGCAGCATGTGTGGCCTGGCGGTGGCTCAGGCGTCGCCAACGCATAAGTAGGTCAGGCGAGCGCGCACGCGCGGTTCTTCATGACCGCACAATGACCGTTTTACACTGGACCCGCATGCTCCTCGGTTAAAACAGTTAATTTCAAATATCATTAATTATATGATTGTATGATAGAGAGACCTGATTGCATTACCATTCTCAAAACTTAAATTATATTTTCAAAATATCGAGATTTGGCTCTAGATCTGTCTGTACATTATTTTCACAATAACTCAAGGTCGCCACACTTGCAACTCGCAAATAAGAACAAAAGATATTAAGTTTTGTTTTTTAAAACATAATCTTAGTCAATCTGCATTTTTTGGTTTGGATTTAGGTAAGGACCTTCCAAAGTTGACAAGGTTTTTACTCCACTTCTTCATGAAAAGCTTGAATGAATTTTAATTGTGAAGCATGACAAATCGTAATCTAGTTTAGGCGCGTTTTTGTGAAAAGGTTAGCCGGGCCGACGGCACAGTTCGTTGGATTACATTAATAGAGTTCATTCGCTCCGATATTCATAAGTACCTAGATTATGCCTCTGATTCATTGTCCGTCGAACAATGCGCTGCCGCTATAAAATAGATTACTAATAAGACTTTCACAACGACGATTTCGGTTTTTTGTTATTAAAAATTTCGTCAGTCTATTTTCTTTGACAGTCTATGCACATCAAGCCTTCGAATTGTGTACTGTATGTAGTAGATCAAAATACATGTTAATGTTAGTTAGTAATTTTCCGTAGCCCTTTTTGGCACAGTGTAGTGCAATGTCAATGCCAATCAAGCAAGAGCATTGCAAGAGCGAGAACCAGTTTGTCTAGTAGGGCATATCGATCATCGCTTCGTAGAATTATCTGAATTTTTCATTTTAATAAATGAGCAAAACTTATTCTGAGATATTTTTGAGTAGATACGTGGAACATCTGTGTTACTAAGCGTTGACAATTAGAAAGGGTAATGAGTGGTCCAGAGGTATGCGCGCCGAGAGCAGGCGCGGTCAGGTACCGCGTATATTTAGCTGATCTGGGTTAACTATTCTCCTGAACAACACACTCGAGCATTGACGCAACCGCCTATGTATGGACGCCTGAAGAATAGGTGAAAGCGAGACGAACCCAATAACCCCATTTGTCCAGCCAAAAACAGGAAGTCTATGCAATATTTGATACCCGATACATTATTCTTGGAACATTTTCGCGAGTTTCTGGAGCGCTTTCAAGTCAGTGGGTGCCTTTATTAAGAATATATTTTAGTTCCTTTGTCTCGGTGTAGTGTGACACAATTTTGGCTATGTTAAAACTGATTTATATTAAAATTCAATGAATTTATCATAGCTACTAATAGTGTAATAAGTTATATTAACGGATACGTTTTACATCTATCCAATATTTTAAAATTTTACTTTTATCTACGTTATTAAGTAATAAACGTTATTACGACGACGTATTATTATTTATACTTATGTATTGCATAAGTTATTTATTAAATATAAGTAAACCAAATATTTTTTTGGTTAATGAAGTTTTATGTGATGAGACCTGGGTCTGCGGGTGTCTATGGGCGACGGTAATCACTTACCATCAGGTGATCCGTTTGCTCGTTTGCCTCCTATCACATAAAAAAAAAAAAAATATTGGTCATGATTTCAGTTCTGCAAAAATTTTTTTGGTAATTTTTTTTGTGTCCAAGTTTAATTAATTGATCATTAATTTGTAGCATATTTTTTTAACTTGAGTACCAATCGATGTATTTTGACGATTCTAAAAAAGTTGTCAAACGCAATGACCTCAAAAGATACGAAACTCCTTGAACACATTCAACAAGTGTTACACTCGCGGCGATAAGTCGACCGTTATCTAACTATCCCAAATTCTGGGTAAAAAGATCCTCAATAAAATGTCACATAGTATCGTATAAAAAGAATTCTTTGTTGCACCAAATAGTATTTACACAAAAGATTTCGCAACACATTGTGTGCAGTTCGTTGCTAGTTCCCATAGAACTGACTGTTTATCTGTTGATTATTAGGCCATATCGAAAACATTTATTGTGCAGATAAAGTTGACGCATTTCACACGCTGAAACTGGATGATTCAAGTTGAATGCCCTACCCTACGAGGTGGCAAAGATAACCATTGGATAATCTTGCGCAAATCATCAAAAATAGGAAAATAGGCAATGCACCGCCGCCATTGTCTGATAAAGAAGATTATTACCGTTAATGTTTTTTAACTAAAATATAATTCACAAAACTACGTTTTTGCCCCTTTCACTTAATTGATTTCAATTGCTTATTTCAGATTATGTTTTCCGAATGAAATCCATTTTAATATTCATGACCATGTAAATCTTTCCTACTGCACTGTTAGAGAATTCTTGAAAACTACAAAATAAGAAAAAGGTAAAAAGATACAGCCAGTAGAAAGTACGAAATAGAAATTCGGCTGCTGTTTTTCAGTCACGACCTTTGCGCTTTCGCCGGAATACATTTGCAGTTCTATTTGTTTTGCGGCTTGTTATTATAATGTGCTTGAATATTTCAGACTCATCACTTATATGTAAGTAGGTTCTATGCACTTCATTATCTCTTAACAATAGAATAGTGTTAAGTTCATGGTGGCCACTTTGTGATAGTTTTACTTACTTTGAAAGTAATTTTGTTCCACAAAATTTCATCACATCGTCTTCGCAAGCTGTTTCATATCTTTTATGGTCACATGAATCATGTTCGGACGACGGCTTGCCGAAATGCCTTTAGAAAAATGAAGCTAGTAACAGAACGGTACTCTGGGTCTAACACGTGATTTTCAGAGATATACCTACCTAAAATAGAACTGAAGGAAAAATTATCAGGAATGACATGTGGTTAATGATAATGGAACAATGGCACCTACGTCAGATCTTCAAATCGCAATCGTACTTTACAATCTGTCGACGTAATGACTCCATCCTGAAATACCTGACCGATTACAATGCCAATGACGTTTTGTTTTGATATTGTTTTTCGGCGATTTATGTGTCTGGCCAGCAACAATTTAGTGGAATAGCCGATAAACGTGTGAATGACCCCACGCAGTTGGTAAACAGCTGAAACAAAGCACCACTGGGGCCTAATTACTTTACAATAAAAGTACCGCGCTGTGAACTAGAATGACACGAGCCTCCAGTTTAGTGACACATTTACCTAACTACGTGAAATAAAGTATTTGAATGAGAGTTTATTATTGATTCGAAGGCTATTATACGCTGCCATAGCAGCTATATTTAGTGTTAATTTAATTATCTAGCAGTTCGTTTAAGTTCGACTTATTCAGTCTGATCAGAAACACTTAGGAAGACTTAAAAATAAGTTTTTGTTTCATACTTCTAAAAATTTATTGATTGAAGAATCTAATGCATGGTCAAATGGTAATAGAGTCGTCTGCATGCCTAATAAACCTATGAAACCCCGAAAGTTGGGAGCAATATGAGAGCGTGTAAATCAACAATAAACAATAGTTGGGTGTCAATGACATGCGCATTGCCATTGTCATATAAAATTTGGTGCGCAACACGAACAATTAATGAACTCGATGCCAAGTTACTCAATGCTATATACATATCCCAAGATATTATCGTTGTATGAAAGTTTTTTGGGACGTTAGCTATGCAATGGTGATGTAGTCGTCACATTTGAATACCATGACGCTTGCGGTTAAATAAATTTATGAAAAATGGGTTGTTGTTAACTATTTGTTAACAACTATAAAAGTCAACAAAGAGTTAAAACACGCATGTCTTTCATACACATATCGTAACGTATGACCAATCGATCATCATGGATCATTATAAATACCTATCGTAACTTTTGACAAATTAAGTCGAGCTTTTCCACTTTATAAAATTGTATCAAAGGTACATAAACCAGGAAATAAACTAAGACTGCAAATCACATGTTAGTCAAGCTATAGAGCGTCATCAAACCTAGGTTATATTAGTGTCACATAGTAGGAATACGCGTTTAAAATTGTGCACAAGCACATTTCCTATTACATAAGCGCACGCGCAGCGTGCACCCGCACCATCGCCGAGGCCTCGACGCCGGTTTCACAACCACCACACCGTTTTCACTTTTTCGCTGTCAAGAACGCGCCGACGATAAACAAACTAACATTTTGGCCGTCACTGCCAAACTTTCAATCCAATCTAACACGCCCTAACCACCAGTATAACTCACCACAAATGTGACTCTTAACACAATACAATTGGAGTTCAAATTACATAAACTCAAGCCACCCGTTACGACCGCGAGCATCGCGAACATCATAGTACAAATCACAAAACAGAACGGCGTCTATTCACCATTGCAACAATGTAGTCAAAACCTTATTCGTTTGTAATAAATGCGTATTTAAATTAACACTTTACGAGTTAAATAACGTTCTTGAATACAGTATGCGGTTGTAGAAACGTCGAGGCTGTTCATTGACCTTTTTAGGCACATAACACAGCGAAACAAAAGACGAATTTAAACCAAAGACGCTAGAGGAACCTTGATAATGCATTGCCTGTGTTGTGAAATCGCTGTAGAATTAGAATCTGTCTGAATAGC